TCAGGATTACATTCTTTTCATCCAACAACCCAACACTAGCACACAGATTAATAAAAGAGTTGATCGGATGTAAAAATAAATTTGTTTTATTTATTCTGATTTCCATCCTTAGAGATTCTAATCCATGTACCTGCATATTTCAGCACAAAATATCATCACAATCCATCAACAAACTAGCCAAATTACTTGTACGTAGTAGCCACGTGTATGTAGCCCCTCCAGCCCTACGACTGTTTCACGTCGGCAGAAAACCACTTCTCGCCACGTATAGTAGAAAACGAGCAGGTAACTTGTGGCTACCGTATATGTACCTGTATTTGGATGCTGTTGTTTAGTTGTATTTATATATATATATAAACCAGAGGGTAGTAACCAGACCTGTACCTCTGCCATACGTTCAGTTACTTACACACCACAAATTGTTGTGTGTTGCTAACCTTTTTGTACCCCCCTACATTGAGAACTCTATGGAGCGCTATTTCACAATAATAGACATACTTTTGGTGCGCGATTTCAACCACTTTTATGAGGCGCGATGATTCGCGCACCATGGCACAATTTCGGGTGCGCGGTGGAGCGCAAGCGTGATCGCGCCCCTTGAAAATGAAAGCCTGGTATTGTTTTGTTTTATTAGCGGTAGATAATTAATGATTTTGACGTGTTTTTCAAGAAAAACACATTTTATTCATTATAATCAAGTTGTGTGTTAGAATTGAAAATGTTAGCGAATAAAGAGGCATAACTAATAAAATACGGCACTTAATAACAATCCCTGACGCGCTTTTTTTCTAAAAGTTTACATGTACCGTTATATGGAGAAATGAGCATACAGAGGTGGCACATAGTGTTAGCCATCGAATAAAGTTGAAAATGAAAAATCGGTAAAATTTTGCCTATTAAAAACCTTGAGAGTATCCTTAATATATAAATATAGGCGGTACCTCAACACTAAGAAACCGGACATCATCAAGTCATTGATGATTGAGGGGTGTGTCTCTAACCCGAGGCAGCTGTTAACGATAATATCTGCAATACATGCATAAACGTGGTAATATATGCAATATTCATTGCGATAATAAAAGCTTTACTGTGCAGCGTCTACAGTATGCAATGGCAGGTGAATTTTTAGCTCGCCTTGACATCGTCAAGATGAGCTGTTGCCATGGCAGGGTGCGAAATTAACGGGAGTCCAGAGTCAAATACTCCCTGATTTACTGTCGGACTCCCTGATTTGACATATGCAGGAGTCTGTGTGACTCCCTGGAAATTCTGCCATACTAACTATAGTTTGTTCCGAAGCACAGCTTCGCAGAATTACTGTATTTTTTCAGACGTGCAACTGCATGAATCTTCAAAATTAGCACATGTATGCGTTATTGTTAATATCTTTAATTTTGAACCTCAGACTGCGGACTCCTTCATTTTGCTGCGGACTCCTTCTTTTTGATAATGATAAACGATTTTATAAAATTTTGGTATGTGAATGTGTAAGGCTAGCCCCAAAACAGTTGTTACTCCTAGGGGAGAGATGACAACGTCCTGTTACGTTTATTTCGTCTAACTGGTCAACAACTCTACAATCATACCTATATACGTGTAATATTGTGTTTTAGATTCTTCGTTACAGTAATTTGACTGGAATATTTTATTGTGTTTATTTGCGCGATATTCGAAAACCAAAATGGCGATCATTTAGGCGTAGCACCATCTCTCGTCAAGATTTCAGACTTTCAGATCTGAAACATTTATTTTCGCATCAAAACTTATGCATATATCATTATCAAGAGTATATAATGGGAGATATGCTATATAATGGGAGTTCTCCCATATATATACTCTTGCTTTATAAAATATATCCCCCCGCCCTCTTCTATCACACCCAAGGTGAGCTACAGTGTCACTTGACTACGTGACTACGTGAGCTACGTGTCATTGACACTTTCATTATCATATACAGTGTTTCGCCTGGCCAAAAAGGTATGTGAGGCAGTACTTGTTTTTGGTGTGTTTGAGCGTTTCGAGGTCGTAGCAAAGCGAGCACTGCAGGTGCTCAGCCAGGGGAAAAATTGTGAAAAAAATGGTGCAATTTGGTGCATTCTAAGCTATTCTATAGTTTATTGATCGAAGATCAGTGATTTTCGTCAGCGAGGCGGTGTTTAACTGTTTTAGATAAATTTCTGTGTGGCGGCTGAGAATTTGAGTGAGGCGGCCCACCTCGCTCGTGTCAATGCAGGGGAAACACTGGTATAGTGTAATTATAAACGTAGCTGGGATATCAGGATTGTATGTTGGTAGTTCTGTCTAGTACCTGATAATTTATTTTGTGAGACAAATAAACTCATATATGTATATTTTTGTAAAATTGCTGAGTAAGATCAAATTTTTGCTGAAATTGGAAAACAATGACATGGTCATTGTTAAAAATATACAGCACAGTAAGGCCACAATTAGAAAAAAACTCTATTTTCCCTCACCTGACCCAGGCTGAAAAGTTTGGGTAGGTAGGTAGGCTTTTTTTTTTTTAGGGGCGTTTTTTACGAATTCAGCATGGTGTCTTCATGCTCGGGTGTTCTTGTGTGGAGATACCTTTTATGTTGAATGTTTAGTTGCTTGGTACATATATGGAATGTATTGCCTACAGATTTATATAATGTACAGTGATACAATTTGTAAATAAAAAAAATAATGGGAAAGATCAATAAATTTTTTTGAGTCGGCTCCTTTTTTATGTGTCGGTCGGGCGAGAGCAAACAAACAATATTTTTATTATGGCCTAATGAATATAAGGTAAACATCTGCTTTCAATCTGTGAATTATAAGCACCACTAGCTGTGATTGTAAAAGGGTTCAATAGTCCTGCCCAAATCTGGTCTACATAAAACCCTGTTCATGTTTAGACCTTAATGTAGATGTACCTGTGATTCTAACATCACATTCATCACTCCCAGTTTTTACTATACACTACAGTGTTTCCCCTGCATTGACACGAGTGAGGAGGGCCGCCTCGCTCAAATTCTCAGCCGACACACAAAAATTTGTCCAAAACACCTGACGAAAATCAATGTTCTTCCATCAATAAACTGTTACTACACTTTATTTAACTAAAATGCAATAGTCTCATACGGTGAGTGTGTTCATAATAGCTTAAAATGCACCAAATTGCACCATTTAAAAAAAAATTCCTCGACCCCCCCCCCCCCGTAGCTGGGTGAGCTTACTGAGTACATTGCTACCAGTTTTATGAATTTATTGAATCCAACCTGATTCATTGATATGCAAAACGAGTGGTTTGTCTAGTGGTGTCTTGAACCTCACAAGCGGTGTCTTTTTCTGTGTTCTGAATGAGGAAAAGACCTCTGTGGTAATTTTTTACAAGGCGTATAGGGTCATGGGAAAATAGCCATAGTGTAAATGTACCAGTCAGGTGACAAAATATTGCTGATTAGCTTTAAGATTTAAGGGCTCACCCCTGATTTCTTTACTTTTTGAAGCAACGAAGATAAATGGCAATGCATTAATTATCTATAGATAGTATATTAGTAATTCATTAGGAGAACTGTTTAATGTCACCATCTAAAATAATTTAGCAATGCAATTTCGTTTAATTAAGAATAGAATTTACAAATGTGTTGAAAATCAATTGGGTAATATTAGGCCATGTCAAGTGAGACAGCCCATCTGCCTGCTGTTGCCATTCTATTCACTTCCTAGTACATTATCACTGCTAACGATTAATTTAACGATGGCACTACTTACTCTTACAATCATTTGAAAATTTTGAACATTATTAGTCAATTAAATTAAACTTTATTCACATAATGCACCAATTTTTCCATTTTTAATAGCAATGAAAATTAACTGGCATTTTAAAAGCACTGATTTGTTAGTTTAATGATTTTATTAATGTTATTACATTATATAATTATAACTTTTAACCTTGCCTATTAACCTTATATATATGGGAAATGTCATCATATCACATCGTAACATTATTATCGTATATATATAGTAAACCTTATCCGCCGATTACCCGTTATCGTTCCAGGATTTCTCCTACGATCAACGATTCCGGTCTTGCGCTTTGGTCGATGACACACGGGCACTCACGGTAGCCCCACCACGCGACCCCCCTCTCCTCACCCCTCACCCCTCACCGTTGCCATGGAGAGCATCGACATGTCGGACCCGCAGACGCTCACGGTGGTAATGAGCGCTGGCGCGATCGTCGTCACGGCCGTGCTCGTCTACGCGTTCTCCGTCTTTGGATTCCGCCAGAAGACCTACGAGGAGGCGCTGGAGGAGCAGCGTCGCCGCGACGAGCTGCTGGTCGCCGCCGGCAACCGTGCCCCGCAGCAGCCGCCCTCGAAGGCGGCGAAGACGGCAAAGAAGAAGCAGCAGCGCAAGAAGGAGAAGGCGGCGGCTGCTCCTCCTCCAGCTGAGAAGGAGAAGGGCATCGCCGCGGCGACGCTTGGGGAGCATGCGGGAGAGCACGTGGATTTTAAGACGACTCCGGAGATCATCGATGAGGAGGAAGCAAAACCTGAGGCTGCAAAGCAGCGGAAGAGGAAGGGAGGGGAGAAGCCGCGGCCGATCCTCGTCAACAAGGAAGCCAAGGTGAGGAGAGGGGAAGGCAGGGGATGAAGGGGGGGGGAGGGAAGGTGAGGTGAGAGAACCATGTGGTGCCGTTTAGAGCTGCCATTTTCAAGTTTACTTGGAGCCAAGTGATTTTAGTGATTTTTTTCTGGTTCAGGTTTTTTAAAATTTGTGGCTCAGTATTTTTTCCTGATAGCAAGCATGTTGTATTCCAATGATCAGTGTGGTACACTATGTATGGGTGCATACGTGCAAGCCTGTTTGTGTGTTTGTGAGTGGGTGCATGTGACTGCGTGCGCGTGTTCACGTGCAGTGCATGTTTAATCGGCTGTATCATGTGTATGCCTGTGTGTGTTTGTGTGGGTGTGTGAGTGTGTGTCACAGTGTGTGCCTATTTTCTAGCATCACTTCATGTTTTATTGAGACTCCGTGATAACTATGCTGACCAGACATAACGATCGGGAGGTGTGGTTACGGTTTCCCGACCGACCCTATTTATTCCCAGCGACCCTAAACATTTTAATTGTCAATTTTCTTTAAAGTAAAAAAAATAATAAAAAAAATAAAAAATATGAATTGTTCAAAAGGCACAACGCACATCCTTCGGACATGGTTCGTAAATAAAATATTTCAAGAAAATAAAATGTTTTCCCTACCTACCTACCCTATTTTTTTCGGCACGTAACGGTAACCACACATATATTTTGTTCTGGCCTAGAAGTGTTGTGACAGAGCGAAAGAACTTGAATTTTAAACGTGTGCTTTATTGAGTTAATTGGTTGGTTGAGCTTGCAAGAATTTTTTTTAGTAAATAGTCAATTAATTATGTAGGTGCAGAAGCCGAGGTGAGTGAACCTCTCACAGTAAACAAGAGTGTGTTTTTCCAGTTGATTATTTAATATTGTCATGATCTATGTGGTGGCGTAAGTGTACTTCGTAATTTAGATAGCGTTAAACTTATTCAATAGTATATTTCATGCTAAATTATTACTCACGTAATGACTTTATCGCGCCCCGCATAATTAATGGAAAAATTAATAATGGTTAAATAATAATTATAACTCAAATAATAATGGTTATAATAATTATAGTTAATGAGTTAATTTTTAGTGAATTGATTGTAATTAGTTTGATAATGATTATCTGTGTAACGTTAACGACGTAGGTTCACCTCACCCGTCCGGAAGACCGGCCGCGCAGTAACTCGTTCGTGGAGATCTCGCCACGCGATGAGATTGAGCTGAAGCACCTGCAGGACGAGCGCCGCCGCAGCCGCACGCCGTCCGAGACAATGCCAAGCGAGGACGAGATGGTCACCGCCGCCCCCGCCCCTGCCGCTGCCGAGTCCAATACGAGCAAGGTGAGAGAGAAGGAGGAAGAGGGAGAGAGAGAGAGAGGGGGGGGGGGAGAGAGAGAGAGGGGGGGGGAAGAGAGAAAGAGACAGAGAGAGAGAAAGGAGAGAAGAGAGAGAGAAGAGGTGGATGAGAGGAGGAGAGAGAGAGAAAGGGAGGAGAGAGAGAAAGAAGGAGAGGGGGTGGGAGGGAGAGTGAAAGAGATAGAGGAGAGAGAGAGAGAAAGAGGTAGGTGTACACATGCACGCGGTTTTGTGGGGGTGAGAGGAGGGAGTATATAGGAGTAAATGACAACTTTTTACTGTTGAGTGATGATTATAGAAGGATAAGGAGATGTTTTTGCAAACAATGAGTGATGAGAGCAGTTTCAAAACACAATGTTTAATTATTGAAACGATGAAGTTTTTCAATTAATAAATTTGTTATTTAGCATTATGAAAATGGAAAATGGAAACGTATGGGAAAGAAATTCTAAATATGTGGGTAAAAGATATTGCCAACTTCATTTTTTCCTCAACAGGGAAAAAAGCAGAAGGACAACGAAGCCTCGAAGCAGACGGCTGACTCCAAGGTCAAATTTGTTGATATGAAAGTCGTTGGACAGAAGGTGGAGGAGATCAGGGTCATACAGGCTGCAGAGGAGGAGGAGGTTGTCAAGAAGGTTGAGAGCAAGAAGGAGGAGGCTCCGAAGGAGGAGAGGACATCGCCCACGAAGAGACAGAGGAAGCCGAGAGAAGGTGAGCATGTGAATTTAATTAATTACATATACATATATACATACATACATTACATTACATTACATTACATTACATATTTAAAACTTTTTTTTTTCATTTTTTATTTTTTTTTATCTTCAGAGTGCTTTCTGTCTCCCTGCGTTGTTTCCTATAGGGTCACCTATGTAGAATTCTTGGAGTTTGAATCATTATTTTACGCTATCTCATGGTTGCTCTCAAGTAATCATTGATTAATGGCGGTATTTACTTTTATGCTGCAGTGTGGCCCTCGTTTTTCTAGAATAAACATGACAGCCGATCATTGATTTTTGACATTGGCTCATACTTTATTCACAGTGCGGTACTGTACCGCATCCGGCTAACGTGTGCTGTCGCTGTTATCATCAGTTGTAACTAGTGCATTTGATCTAACTAGCACAGCTGATACTCGAACGGTGCAAAACACAGAGTTACTGTGCGTGACACAGTGCAGAGTTCGTAGCGGGTCTTCCAAAGTCTTATAAGTACTTATTTTGCCAAAAATAAAATAAGGGCCCTTATTAGTACTTATTTTTGGTGAAATCTTAGAAAAGTACTTAATAGTCCTTATTTTTCAACCTACAATATTTCATATAAATTGTTTTATAAACTGTTCTCGACTTAGAGTAAAAATTGTTGTATATATAATACGGAATAATTAAATCTGCTGTTTAATTGTGTATATAAATATTATTAGTGTACTTTAATAGTCGGTGATCTATCAGAAATCGCGTAAAAAAGTCTTATTTTGGCCTCCAGAAAGGGTCTTATAAGTCCTTATTTCAACATGTGTCTTACTACTATGAACCCTGCAGTGCAAAAACTGTCGTCTTTGACGGAAATTTGTCACTGTGGTTGTGGTGACCTCTATTCTCTAGCTGGTTGCGAGTGATTTCACGCAGTCTGGTTTTTAATCATAGTTTTCTAACGCGGTGTTGGGTAGCACGGCGGTGGCTAGCACGTTACGGTACTGGGTTCATGCTACTGTAGCTGCTTCCATAGCTGTTTCTAACGTTAACCCTATTGGGGTTAATAAGCTTGCAAGCAAACCCAGCGTCGTGAATCATGTCTAGAATGCCAGCTGGTGTCATCGCGACCTTTTTCTTTTCTTTTTTTGCTGTTTGTCATGTAACGAGATTGCCAGTTTATGGGGTTGTGTATGATCGTTACTAATATACTATTGAGCTGTTTGTCCTGCCTCGAGATCTGGCTGTCTGTACAGTGAAGCTTGCATGTAAGGTTTACCTGAAGAAGTGTCCTTTATACACAGGTGTCGATCCGTTCCATATAAGGTGGTCGCACTGCACAACTGCTGTCAATGAAACAGCTCGCAATTTATTTTCCAGAGGAGATACCAGGTGGCGCCAAGGTGATGGAGGTGATGAAGATGGCAACGCTGACTGACACAGAAATCCAGGTTCTTATCGAAATTCTGCTCAACAAGCAGCAGTCCGGAGACCAGTGGACGAAGGTCAGACGGCGCCACCATTGTCTCTGCTACACACTACGCGTCTCCTACTTTAATTCTCTATCTCTCGCCATCCTCCCCAATTTAATTTCTGCCGAACAAGTAAATAAATAAGAAATAATAAAGATGATGTGATAGATAATATTAAAAATACATAATAATAATAATAATAATAACGATGTCAGTGAATGAATTCGACACTCGTGCGTTTCGAGTTATTTATTAGTAACAACAACTAAGGATAGTTATAATAATAATAATAATAATAATAAGATAATAAATAATGATGTAACTGAGTATATTTGACACCCCTGTGTTTTCATGTTTCATGTAGAAGAGCCAGAAGACTGATCCGATATCGCTGCTGAAGAAGCAGGTTGAGGAGAAGGATGCTAATCTCATCGAATCGCAGCAACAGCTGCAGTGCTTCACGAACAAGTGCAAGGAGATAAGGTTAGTGTTCCGGCATCGCAGGAGCGGCCGAGTAATAATGATAGTAATAATGTTATTGTCATTATTGTTAGGTGCTGTTGTTGTTGTTGTTGTGGTGTTGTTGTTGTTGTTGTTGTTGTTGTGGCGGTGGTGGCGGTGGCGGAGGCGGCGGTGGTGCTCTTATTGTAGTGGTTGTTGTTGTTTTGTAAGATAAATAGTGTAAATAAGCTTGCCTGACGTGGTAGTGCTCGTTATAATGATTATTAATAGTAATGTTATTGTTATTGTTAGGTATTTTTATTATCATTATCATCATCATCATCATCATCATCATCATCATCATCATCATCATCACTAGGGTAGTAGGTAGCAAATATCCACATGCTGTCGTGATGATACCACAGATTTTTACCAAAAATTGTTAAATGGCTGATACATTGGGAAACGGATGTAAAGCAAGTGTTCTAACACATAATAACATGAAAACATAACATTTTTCCCTGAAAATTAGAAAATGATGACGTTTAAAATTTTTTAGTAGCAAATATCCACATTTTCTAATTTAACTAGTTTTGATGAGTGAATAGAGCTGTGAGTTAAGTGGATATGCATTAGATTGTTAATAGCAACAAAATTCCAATGTTCAATATCCACCATATTCAGAAAAATAGATTTTTAGTGAAGACGCACTACAGGTATATACCCCCTTATGGCACTCTCCTTTGCAAAAT